CAGTGTATTAGATATAGCCATTGGCAGGCAGTCTTTTATAACCCAGATCAATAGATCTAGAGGGCATATTCTTTTTTAGTCCGTCTGTCCGTCACAAAACGTTAGTCTTGACCATAACACAAAGATCTTTCCACCTAATGCCTCCAAATTTCAAAGGTCCATGCAGCTCTAAATGTCAGACCCTCTAAGCGGTCAAAGGTCATGGTCACCCCACGGAGACATGGTGTTCATTCCAACTTTGTGCTTGTTTTATAAGAAAACACTGCCTTTTTAGTAAAGAAAAACAAAATGTGACATTGTGACTTCATCAGTGTATTACTTGTGGTTCATAACCCAGGTATTGTGGGATTGAGATTTCATTCAGATTTATTTTATAATTTCAGTGTATGAGAAAAACCCACCATTGACAGTGGTACAAAGATTTGTACATCTACTGGACACAAGTGATGCTGATTATGCAGAGGAACTTGGTATATTCATATGTCTATATGACTATTATTATTAATCTTTACCTTTAGTAGTTATACTGGTGAATAACCTTTCTTATAGATGCTATCAATTTCTTTCAGCAAGAAACTTTTGGGGTGTTCCGTGCTTCAAACCACTTGCCCTTCCCAACTCTGAGTTTGAATCCTGCCAGGGACTTTGGATTCTTTCATGTGATGAAGCTATCCAGCTAGCTTTTGGAACATCAGTGGTTCTACTCGGGTGCCATTTTGTGCCTGAAATAATGAATGGAAGGCCACCTGAGGTCTTCCTCGAGCTGTAAAGCTGGAAAGTCGCCATATAACCTATACAGTGTTGATGGGACTTAAATCACACACACACACAAAAATCATTGCACAGATGCCAAGAATTTGTTCAAGACGGTTTCGTTAGAAGCTGAATGTATGGGGTGACAGACAGTGAATCATTTGCTGTTAACTGCAATGAGATTGAATCCCTCTTGAGACTTTGATTCTTTCATTTGGGGGCATTCAATCAAGTGAAAATGTCTTGAGCATGTCATAATAACGTAGCTATATGACTTATCAATGTCATTTTGACATTTTATCCCCACAACAAATTAATAAGTTGAACTCTCTTTTTATTTAATAGAGTTACAGAAGGTAAAGCAGCATGTGGTGAAGGAGATAAAGTCTAACCAGCAGCTTGAACATGATCTAGATCAGATGGACGTCAAGATCGGACTCCTCATAAAAAATAGAATTACATTGCAGGTAAGTGAAAAAGTGAATTTAGCATCTTGGTACTGAAATCCTATTGATAGTGTTGAGGCATCTGTAGCCCAGTGGTTAAGGTTGTTGAAATCAAACCACTTGAACCTCACTGATGTGGGTTCGAATCCTGACAATGACTTTAATTTCTTTCATTTGAGGAAGCTTGCAAGCTAGCTTACAGAACGTCAGTAGTTCTACTTAGTTGCCGGTTCTTGCCGGATATAATGCACGGAAGGGCACCTGAGGAGGTCTTCCTCTACCAGTAAAGCTGGAAAGTTGCCTAAAAAAAACAAAACGAAAAAACAACCATTAGACTATTCCATATTCAAAGCAGGGCAAGGCCATTATGTAAATATTTAGTAATGTATAAGGGTTAATGTTTATATTTATAGGATGTAGTAATGCATAATAAGAAGTTAGCGAAACAAAGAGAAACACAGACTGGTGGGAACCGTAAAAGTGCTGCCATACCAAAGGGGTTAAAAGTTATGTCGAAAGAAAGTCATGATAGAATGGAGGCTTATCAGCACTTGTTTTACCTGCTTCAAACCAATCCAACATACCTGGCCAAACTCATATTTGAAATGCCTCAGGATAAGACAACAAAATTCATGGAATCTGTGATTTATTCACTTTTTAACTACGGAAGTAACGTCCGTGAAGAATACCTCTTAGCAAAATTGTTTAAGACAGCTTTGGAAGAAGAAATCATGTAAGTTTACCATCGTAAAATATGTTGTAAATTCATACACTACTGTAGAAAATAAGTTTTCGGCATTTCTTAAATTCAAAATAAAGATAATAAGTTATATGCATGAAAAAAGATTTTAAACACTGGCCGCAGTCACAGATGGAAATGTCTGGTTCCTGGCTTACTGATTAGGAAAAACTTGACAAAGAGCTTCGTTACTGCCCTTGATAGTTACTCTCGATCAAGATATTATACCAATCTGTAATGGCCGTCAGTGTAAGTCTTATAGTACACATGTTTGTTTTTGTGTCGCCTTGAAAAGGTGACATATAGGGGTTACTTTCGTCGGTGGTGTCGGCGGCGTCTGTGTCGGCGTCGTTGTCGGCGTCCCCTAAAGCTTGTCCGGAGCATAACTCAGTCACTATAAGTCTGATTGACTTCAAACTTGGTATGCATGCTTCTTTCAATAACCCGAAGTGCAGTGCACAAGGACCGGTACTCTGCAGTTCTTATTTTTTGAGTTATTGCCCTTTGTTAATTTTCATACTTTAATTTTGTTCGCGGGCCATTTCTCTTCAACTAAAAAAGCTATGGACTTGAAACTTCATAGGATGATAGATCTCATTAAGAAGAAATGCAGTGCACAAGAACCAGTACTCTGCACTTCCTAATTTTTGAGTTATTGCCCTTTGTTAATTTTCATACTTTATTTTTGTCCGGGCCATTTCTCCTAATGTATAAAAGCCATGGACTTCAAACTTCATAGGATGATAGGTCTCATTAAGAAGAAGTGCAGTGCACAAGAACTGGTACTCTGCATTTCTTATTTTTTGAGTTATTGCCCTTTGTTTATTTTCATACTTTAATTTTGTCCGGGCCATTTCTCCTTAAAGTATAAAAAGCTATGGAAACTTGAAGAAACTTCATAGGATGATAGGTCTCATTAAGAAAAATGCAGTGCACAAGAACCAGTACTCTGCACTTCCTAATTTTTTGAGTTATTGCCCTTTGTTAATTTTCATACTTTATTTTTGTCCGGGCCATTTCTCCTAATGTATAAAAGCCATGGACTTCAAACTTCATAGGATGATAGGTCTCATTAAGAAGAAATGCAGTGCACAAGAACCAGTACTCTGCACTTTCCTTAATTTTTTGAGTTTATTGCCCTTTGTTAATTTTCATACTTTATTTTTGTCCGGGCCATTTCTCCTAAAGTATAAAAGCCATGGACTTCAAACTTCATAGGATGATAGGTCTCATTAAGAAGAAGTGCAGTGCACAAGAACTGGTACTCTGCATTCTTATTTTTGAGTTATTGCCCTTTTGTTTATTTTCATACTTTAATTTTGTCCGGGCCATTTCTCCTTAAGTATAAAAGCTATGGACTTGAAGAAACTTCATTGGATGATAGATCTCATTAAGAAGAAATGCAGTGCACAAGAACCAGTACTCTGCACTTCCTAATTTTTGAGTTATTGCCCTTTGTTAATTTTCATACTTTATTTTTGTCCGGGCCATTTCTCCTAATGTATAAAAGCCATGGACTTCAAACTTCATAGGATGATAGATCTCATTAAGAAGAAATGCAGTGCACAAGAACCAGTACTCTGCACTTCCTAATTTTTGAGTTATTGCCCTTTGTTAATTTTCATACTTTATTTTTGTCCGGGCCATTTCTCCTAATGTATAAAAGCCATGGACTTCAAACTTCATAGGATGATAGGTCTCATTAAGAAGAAGTGCAGTGCACAAGAACTGGTACTCTGCATTTCTTATTTTTTGAGTTATTGCCCTTTGTTTATTTTCATACTTTAATTTTGTCCGGGCCATTTCTCCTTAAGTATAAAAGCTATGGACTTGAAACTTCATAGGATGATAGATCTCATTATTTAGAAGTGCAGTGCACAAGAATCGGTACTCTGCATTTCATAATTTTTGAGTTATGGCCCTTTGTTAATTTTCATACTTAATTTTTGTCCAGGCCATTTCTCCGAAAGTATAAAAGTTATGGACTTGAAACTTCATAGGATGATAGATCTCATTAAAAAGAAGTGCAGTGCATAAGAACTGATATCTGCATTTATTATTTTTGAGTTATTGCCCTTTGTTGATTTTCTTACTTTATTTTTGTCCTGGTCATTTCTCCTCAAGTATGAAAGCTATGGACTTGAAACATCATAGAATGATAGATGTTATTGATAAGAAGTGCAGTGTACAGAAACTGCTGCTCTGCACTTATTATTTTTTTAGTTATTGCCCTTTGTTATTTTTTATATTTCATTTTTGTCCTGGCCATTTCCCCTAAACTACATTGTTCACAAGGCGACACATCCGACTCGCGGAGTTCTAGTTTTAATATAATATTTGCAAATGAAATGTACGAGTATCATTTGTAATGGAATATATCCTGTCCTATAAAAATGGATTGTCAGTTTTTGGTCTGTCCTGAAATAACATGTATCATTATTACCTACATGTATTTGATAATGCATTTGTTCCAATTTCTTCTAGAATAATACCCAACTATGGAATGTTCCACAATTTAAAAGAAATGTAATCTACTCCTCTACATATCTTCTGTTGATTAAGAAGATTCAGAAGTTTACTGAGTAATGATATTATTATTATTAACCTGTTTCAAAAATGCATTGATGCTGTTTTTTCCTTTGTCATCCAGCAAGCCAATATTTACCATTTCCTCTTATACACCTTACCAATCATAGTGGGGGTATGAATCACTTTCAGTTATAGTTCACATTTCCTCTTTATTATACCTCCACCAAACATAGTAAGGTCAGTGAAAGTTCTAGTTTCAGCAGCTGTACAATATGTTGTATTGACTAGTTTTTCAAAATAATTTTGATTATACTTAACGTCGAAAAATGTTTTGACTTGTATGTAACACATTATAAAGTGTTATATTTTGTATTAATATTGCTGTCTTTAAAGGAGAATGTGAGTAGAGCTGTATGTGTCAAAATATTTCATATCTTAATATAATAACTGATCCCTGTGATACATAGATCATACAGGAAAAAACAACTGATGGTCGGCGGGTCCATACTCACAGTGCCTGAAAGGGTGGATGGACCCTCATTAAACACAGAATACGCACACAAATTGATGGTAGAAAGACAATTTTTTTTTCAAAGAATATGAAATTTAGAAAATAACTTAACCTTTGATCTGCTAATTTGTTTTTTAAAAAGTTGATGAATCAAAATGCTTAATGTAAGTTTTGTCTTTTTGTCATATGACATTGTATAGCAGGGATAAGTTATAATGTATAGGTGATGCACACTGGTTTGTCCATGGATATATTTTGATAGGTTTTTGAATTTTTTTCAAATTTAAAGTTTACTGACAAAGAAAATGTCTTGTCTGTTAACACACACAATATAGATTTTAAATCCCATACAAAAATCCAAACAGGAAATAAAATGGCAAACTACTGTGCATGACCTGACCATGAATTTTTAGTTATTTTCCTTTTTTGATGTCATGAAACTTTCGACTTTCTGATTTCTTCAGCATGATAAGCCCTACAGAAAATTTCTGGTAAAATAATGATTTTTTCAGCCGATACTTTTTACCAGCTATCAAGTGATGGGTTTTCATAATTTATTTTATTTTATAAATTTTACTGTATGAAGCTTGTATGGATCAGTGTATTTGATATATATTGGGATATGATGAGTTTTTGGGGTTTGATGGGGAGTGAGGTTGGATTATGAAAGGAGCTGTTTTTTTCTTTTCTATGCTTCTCATGTATGAAAAGTAAAGTTTTTTAAGCCCAAACATTTCAGGACAAGTGGGGCTACCTTACACTGGTGTTTTATGTGCAACATTTTACATGCAACAATCTTCAAAACTACTGAAGGTGTTCACTTGAATCTTGATACATGTCTTCATGACCTTAATTAGAGGTCACTGTCAAAGGCCCATAACTCTGATATATAATTTGACTGATTTATAGCCCCTCTATGAATGTACAAAATTCCTGGTTAAAATTTTGCATGCAACACCAATCTCCACAACAACTAAAGGTATTCACTTGAAACTTAATACAAGTCTTCATTGCCATAATTCGAGGCAACAATCTTGCAAGGCCCGTAACTCTGATATGCATCTTGACAGATTTATTGCCCTTTGTGAATTTTTTTTTTTAAAGATAAGCATGCAATATCAATCAGCAAATCAACCTAAAGTAATACTAACTTCACCTGAAATTTTAATTGGGATCATAATTGGAGGACAATTCCAAGATATGGAATTTGACTGATTTATAGTCCTTTGCAAATGTATAAAAAATTTGGTTTAAGTTTTGCATCTTTGAAACTATTAATAGTATTCACTGGAAACAGAATTCATGCTGTTTTTTGTGGGGTTTTTTTTGTCAGCTACTTTTAAGAATGATACAAAATTTATTAACTTGTGTCAAAAATTGGCAAGGGAAGTTTTTGGTTCTTCTTAGAGATCTTTGCTTTATTTTTAACACACTTATTTCCATATCTATATTATTTCTATATTTTTCTAAATTGTTACTGTATTTATGGTGATTTTTGACATATTTGATTTTATGCAATGTTTTATTTATGCATTGTTTTCATTTGATTTCATTGGTTAGGTTGACGTAAGTATTATTATGTGTGTAATGTTCAGAGAAGCTGTAGTGCAGCTAGGAATAAATATATGTCATGCATAAAACAGACGTGTAAACTTGTACACGACGGCTAGGATGCTGTGTCTTAGGGTTCCAACTTAACTTATTTGCCATTTAATTTATGGTTTATGGTGATCTGTACTTATAACAGTTGTAAAAACAGCCTGGTTTTTTGATAAGATTGTTCAAAGGCATAGGGTCTTCAAACATAAATGTATTTGTTGTGCAAATGGGATTTTGTGTGTGAATTTATGACAACATTGCTGGGATGTTTATCAGTGTCATAATAATTTGTAAAATGAAAATGTGTTGCAAATGGAAAGGTTAAGCTTCACTTAATTCTATCAAAACTTTAAATTTTGATGGCTGTGGTATGGATGGGAATGTTTTCTTAAATAACTTCTGTAAAAAAATAATCCTTTAGGTGAGTATAAAAGAACAGTCACATGTTGGAACCCTAAACATTGTTGAATATATATAATTCTGAATGATCTGATACCTCTAGTGAAAGAAAATAACATTTAATTCAAAACTAAGCTCATAAGCATGATTTATTAACCCCTACCATGCTAAATTTGAATAATGGACTGGCCCTGCTTTGAATATGGGAAAGTCCATTCAAAGTTAAAGGGGGGTTTTGATATCAAAATGCAAAGTTTTTAATAGCGAACTGTATGGAACGATTACAGACTGCTCAGATATTTAGCTTTTACCTTTATACAATATTGGTAAAGTTAACATGCCCTCCTTTGAATTTGGGACTACGGGATGTGATAAAATAGGTGAAAATATTTGAGTAGCCATCAATATAGAGTTTGTTTACTCTTGATGACTGTAGGTTAATTGTGAATATTTAATGACATAATAATTGTCCATTTTATCTTTATTAACAGTCTTGCATATGATTTTGTAACACTACTGTAAGTGACAAATAATATCCTTTGTTAACCTACTTATTGATTCCCAGCAAATTATGACCTATTTAACAGCAAGAAAATTGCATGATATTTTTATATACATTATTTTCACACACAAGCATTAGAAAATGAATGACTTATTGTGCCGCAAACACTGATTGTTGATAGGACGCACAATTTTTCTCTCCTGTTTGTCTGCATATGGCAATTTTCAAACCTTTCCTGTATCGTCTTCATTTTATTTAAGCTAGAGTTTTCATTACTGCCTTTTACCTTTCCTAAAGGTTATTTCAAATTTGAGAAAATTTCACAAATTCATTGCCATAATGTGGACAGATAACAGATTGGGACATTTGCATTTCACAAACATATTTTGATTTTTCACTTGGAGAACTTATTTTATTGCCTGGTTTATACTTTGTTTTGTCTCAGCAAAACAATTTAACCCTTACCACAGTGACACTTAATATTTTACAGAGACAATGTAGACCAAACCATTCATCATTTGTAGGGAAAATTTCAAAATATATTTTGATGAATAGTGTAGACCATGATTATCTAGATGGCACTGATTTGCTGGCTGATCTTGGTCTGCACTGGTCACATGGGTATTATCTGTTGATACCAGCTGACAGAGTTAAGAATTGTAATATGACTGTTAAAATTGCACACATTTAAATTACAGGTTATTTCATATTAGGATTTTCCCGAAGTTACTAGTATATGAATCACTGTTTCTAGATTACCCAGAATGCTCCACATTAGTGTAAAAAGAATAAAATCAAACCAATCAGACACACAAAATAATGTATGATAATGATTTAATTTATTTAATTGATAACATAACTTTGTTCTTTAACCCTTAACCTGCTGGAACTGGACGTGATTTGCCGCCAGTATAATATACTATTTAGACTGCTCCATTTTTATATTTTGTTTAATGAAATCCCTTTAAATTGGAATGGACTATTCCGAAGCCAAAACACAGCAGCTCCAGCATGTTAAAGGTTAATATTGTATGTATCACAATAAATACTAAGATATAGTGAAATGATAAAAATTTGGAATGATTTAATTGAATTAACTTGATTAATTGCATCTGATAGAGTATAAACACTGTTTTGTGGTAGTTTTATTATAACTTTTTTTCGTTTACACCATACATTTTATGCTAGTATCTGAATTGCTTGTAGGGTAGATCTCTATAAATAGTCAGTGAGAAATCTTACTACATTGTACATAATGCAAATTTTTTCGAGGAAAATATTTAATAAATTTGTTTTATAGACATATTCTTTATAGTTATTATGCTTGAAAGGTAACTCATACTATTTCTACTATAAGACTTTTAGTGTCAAATTTTAATATTAAATCATGGTATTTTATATACTCTGAGGCTGGTTGCTTTTAGCTGATGCGGAAAAAAATTAACTACTTAGGCCTAACACCTTTGTGGTCAATTCCTACGCATCAGAACTCCAAACCATTGTCAAACAGCAGATGAACACCGCTCAGACAGATATTTTTCTTACCGGTAATTTAATTATGGGACTTCTTCAAGTTTGATTATTATTTTTTTCTGACAATAGAATAGTAAGTAAAATTTTTTATTCAACATGGACAAATGTTAAATGATTTGGATATTTTATTTCAGTTCCAAGGTGGAGAAGATAACAGACATTGTGACGGGCAATCCTCTTGTTGTAAAGATGATTGTAGGATTCAACAGGTAAGGTAGCTGTATGTGAAGATCTGTCGTCGATAGAAACAGTTATCAATGTATCGTAGATACTTTTGGTCAATAATTGATAACGCATTTGAAAAATATTGATAATTTTGACTAATTAATAGATGTGTTTAAAAATTATGAAAATTGACATAAAACCATTATCGCACATGCTGTTGTTACATAATGGAAAAGTTGTTCAGAAAAATTGGCACAAAAAAAACTTTCAATGGGCATTTTAAAAAGAAGACTCCTCATAGTTGTATTAACAGAACATGTATTTTACTGAAATCATTTAAACAGGTACGAAAGTGAATTACAGGTTTGGCTTGAAACTCAGCAAAACGGACAACTGGATACTCGGACACATTTTATTATAAACTGTTGTAGCATTGCTGATTAACTAATTTTAGGTTAAAATTTGAGAGTAAAATTTATGTTAGCAAATATATGGTATGTGAAAACTGGGGAAGATATAAAACTAATAATTCGTGTTCCAGGAATCAGCGTGGTCAAAATGCGTTGAAGGAGATGTTGCAGCCATTAGTTATGGACGTTATAACGGACAAGAATATTCGCATCAATACTAACCCTATAGAAGTTTATAAAGTCTGGGTGAATCAACAAGAATCGGAAACTGGTAAAACAAGGTAAGATTATTTTAACATACTGACAAAAAATTGTGGTAATTAAATTAGTTTGCTCCCAACATTTTGGTAATAGACTTTATAAGCTGGTCTCCATTTGTCCAGCTAGACAAGGTGTAGCATTTTCTTTATAAGGACATTGACCACAACAACAATCAAGATTTTTTTTATGCTAAGACGCAAGTGATGTATATTTTCAAAAGAATCTGGCAAATGTAATAAATAATGATAGGGCACTATCAGATACATGAAGTGCAAAGTCAAAGTTACTGAAATTGGTTAGATATTTTAGCTTAGTATAGAGAAAATGTAAGTGTAATTAATGTAAAGTAGTATAAAGTTATTGTAAATAATTACATGATATGTTAAAATTAAAATGTTTAATTGTAATTGTTTTTTTTTGTTTTTTTTTTATACATATTTTTTAAATAATATTTCAGTGTGTTATTGTAATTGTTTTTAGCTCAACAGACAACTATTCAATAAGAATAAGTAGAGCTATCCTAGTCACCCAAGCGTCAGTGTAACCAATTATGTTAAAGTTTTTGTACCACCTCAAATATTTTTAGAAGCCATTGACATATGGCTTTGATACTTTGCACTCTAGTTTATATTTCTATATATTTTGATATTTCAGTGTACAAACTAATGTTATTGTGTCTGTTTACTGTAATTAATAACTTGTTGTATATTTTAGTACTCTACCTTATGATGTGACCGCTGAAGAAGCATTGAAGCACCCAGAAGTTCTGCAGAAGTTACAGGAGTCCACAACCCAGTTAGAGGCTCTGACAGATAGGTTCCTGACAACAATTCTACAGTCACTTGACAAAATACCGTAAGTCATACAGTCACTTGACAAAATACCGTAAGTCATGCTGCATTATGTGCTTGTATAAATCGTGGCAGATATTATAACTTGCCTGTACCACTTGTCTAAAATATGACAGACTTTCACATCTGTGCAGAATGTTCATTCAAATGACATCAAAAGAAGTTAACGTTGTCTTTGACGTTAAAGATAAAAAATTGAATTACTTTTGAAATGCTAATGATAACTATGAATAAGTAACAATACACATATTTCAGATTTTATTTATTTCAAGAATAGAAATGGAATAGAATAGAAATGGATATTTTTAAGAATCAAATATGTCAATTTATAAAAATAGTAAATGATGTATTGTCTTGTTTTCTCATGCCGTTGGTCCTATATAAATACCTTCTATATAACTTTATAAATTACAGATACGGAATGAGGTACATGGCGAAGGTTTTACACGCAGCTTTACAGAGGAAATTCCCAGATGCTCAAGAGAAAGACGTTCTTAAAGTACAACTCATTTCTTCATTTGTAGTGTCCTGAAACTTTTATACAATTAGGTTATTTTAAGAGTATCTTTATCTTAGAAATGACCTTTGTGTATTTTGCTAAGTGAAAATTGTGTAGTAATGGAAGTTCAGTGAGAGTATGATCTTTTATAAAGTAGTAAGCCAAATACAAGTAATACTGCAAAGTACTCATTCAATGATCTTCCTGCCAAAGAAAATGAAAGTATACATTTATAAATATTGTTCTATTTTTAGATTGTAGGTAACCTGTTGTACTACCGATACATCAATCCAGCTATCGTTGCTCCGGATGTGTTTGATATTATCAACGTTAGTGCCGAGAAAGCCCTCACAAACGACCAGAGAAGAAACCTAGGATCTGTCGCAAAGATCCTACAGTTTGCCGCCTCCAATAAAGGAGTGAGTAGATTTTCTGTGTATTCAGTGTGGTAAGATTTATAGATTAAGAGCGTGTTAGATGTAGATGCTTATCTCATTAAGCAAGCAGTGTTAAATGTGAAACAATTTGTCATAAATATAACAAAACAAAGTAGTATTTTGTTTAACAAAATACTAAATCATAATAACTTTACTAATGGCCTAAAAGCAGAAGATGGTTCAGTTATATGGCAAATGAGTACTTTTTCTGAAACTATTACAGACATCTAACATTTAAAGCTTTTGAGAAATAAAAATAATAGCATTCTGATGGGGGAAGTTGATTTTCAAGTTACACGAATACCTAATTATGGGTTTAATTTAAATGGAAATAATCATTGAATAATTTATTTACAGTTTGGTGGAGACAGCTCTTATCTTTCTCATATGAACTCGTACATCAAAGAAGCTCATGAAAAATTCAAGTGAGTTAACATTTTACTAGTATCTTAGCTCGTCTGTTTCAAAGAAAAAGTCAAGCTATTATGATTGCTGCTCTGTCGTCATTTTCCTCGTGCAGAATCTTTCATGTAGCCAATAATTGGAACATTTAAGTCATCAACATGATACTTGGAATACTTGCTTATCATGACAAGGTGCAGTTGTTAGTCAAGGGGCATAAGTCTGAAAGCTATATTGTTGGAGTTATGTCCCTTTTTAACATAGAACCTTTGTCATAAGTGGTTATTTTAACAACCCATGTGGTGCTCTTGGTTATCTACATGTATGTGAGGAAAAATTTAGAATAAAAATAATGTGTTATATGTGTGTAAAAAAGTGAAATACCATAGATATTTGGTAGTGGTAGTTATGGACATCTTCTAATGATGTCTTGTTCATTTTCTAATTATTTTATTGATATTTTAGTTGCCATGGATATTTTAGCTATATCATAGATAAAGTTTTCAAATGAGTTACCTTTTTACAAATGGTAAATTCTAAATAACGGAGTCAATTTAAATTGCTGGTTAAGCAGTCTTTATATACATGTATAAAATAGAATATTCTGCTTAGACATGTAAGCTTAAAATTGATATTCCACTAAGAAAATCGGAAAATTGTTTCTTAACTTTAAATGAAACAACTTCTGAAATATTTTTAAATTCTATTTTGACAGGAAATATTGTATAGCAGCATGTGAAGTTGAAGAACCCGAGTTAAAGTTCAACATTGATCAGTATACAGACGTTACCATGATAACAAAACCTGTAATATATGTCTCTATACAAGAAATAGTAGATACACATCAGGTATGTCAGTCTGGTTATAATTACTTCTGATTTGTCAGTTTCAGTCATGTGACTAATGTTACTTTGGTATTACTTTCTTCTGATTGGTTAATATCAGTCATGTGATTAAAAAAAAACAATCTACCAATCATGTGCTTTTGTTTTTAGATTGGTTCATACACAAATATCTGTATAATGTAACAAATTCTTTGAGAGCCATCCAGTTAGCTCAATAGGTAGAGCTTTTGACTGTAAATCAGGTGACCCGGGTTCGATTTCCGGACAGTGCAGATCACTTTCATTTGGATTGATTCTGAAATATTTTCTACGGTCGTTTGCTCTGTCCCTCTGCTCTGCATGTACAGAAGTTTTAGTATGTTGGGAAAGTGAAGGCAACTAGTACTGGTAAACTGCGTGACAGCCTGCCCAGAAACTGGCTGAACTGTGCTCTGGTAAATTCAGTGTGGTCAGGAGTGAAAACTACCAACACCACCAAATTCTTTGATTTATTTCTGAAGTTATGTAGTTTGAAGACTTATTGTGCATGTAAATTGAAAATTATCACTTTCATTTTCCTTGTAGTTGTTATTAGAACATCAGGATAGTATTGCACCGGACAACAGTGACCCCTTACATGAACTTTTGGAAGATCTGGGAGAGGTGCCAAGTGGCCATGAGTTGCTAGGTAAATGTAACATTATTTCTTTGATATAAACTGACTATGTTTGTATTGCCAATGGTAAAATCATATTTGGTAACAAAATGGTTCTAATTTAAGCCTTAGGAATGTGGGTTCAACTATGTTTCTCCATATAACAGTGGTACTGGTTAGTTCAAGGAAATGAACATGAATATGATTAGTTCTAGTGACTTTACAAGGCAAAATCTTTAGTGATTCATAGACAACCAGCCCAATACAAAACAGTATTTTTAAATGACTAAATGACACTTCAAATAACCTATAAAATATATAAGCAAGATTTTATATTTTGGATTTGCAACAAGTAGTATTTTAAAAATGAAATGATTTTGGTCTTGATGGCCAGGTGGTTAAGGTTGCTGACATCAAATCACTTGTGGGTTTGAATCCTGTCAGCAACATTGAGTTTATTTTATAAAAAACATCTAGAAGGTTGGTGGTTCTACACACAGAGCTGCTTGTGCCTGAAATAATGCAATGAAGTCCTCTTCCATCAGTAAAGCTGGGAGGTCATTATATAACCTTTTACTATGTACATGTGTAGGTGTACCTTAAAACCCTACAAATTAATACAAGAATATACAGTTTTTAGTCCCCTACCGGTTTACCGGAGGGGACTTTAGGTTTACCCTCCGTCCGTCTGTCCGTCAGTCCGTCCGTCCACAAAACTGGATCCCGCGATAACGCAAAAAGTACTGAAAATATTTTAATGAAACTTGATATATGGATAGATGGCAGTATGGAGATTATGCACGTCTTTTTTTTTTCTTCCTATGTTGAAAATTCTGGTTGCTATGGCAACAAATAGACTGAAAATATGACAAATTTTACACATAAACTGGATCCCGCGATAATGCAAAAAGTACTGAAAATATTTTTATGAAACTTGATATATGGATAGATGGCAGTATGGAGATTATGCACGTCTTTTTCTTTTCTTCCTATGTTGAAAATTCTGGTTGCTATGGCAACAAATAGACTGAAAATATGGCAAATTTTACACATAAACTGGATCCCGCGATAATGCAAAAAGTATCCCCTACCGGTTTACCGGAGGGGACTTTAGGTTTACCCTCCGTCCGTCTGTCCGTCCGTCAGTCCGTCCGTCAGTCCGTCCGTCCACAAAACTGGATCCCGCGATAACGCAAAAAGTACTGAAATATTTTAATGAAACTTGATATATGCGATAGATGGCAGTATGGAGATTATGGCACGTCTTTTTTTTTTTTTTTCCTATGTTGAAAATTCTGGTTGCTATGGCAAACAATAGACTGAAAATATGGCAAATTTTACACATAAACTGGATCCCCGCCGATAATGCAAAAAGAACTGAAAATATTTTTTATTGAAACTTGATATATGGATAGATGGCAGTATGGAGATTATGCACGTCTTTTTTTTTTCTTCCTATGTTGAAAATTCTGGTTGCTATGGCAACAAATAGACTTAAAATATGACAAATTTTACACATAAACTGGATTCCGCGATAATGCAAAAGTACTGAAAATATTTTTATAGAACTTGACATATGGGTAGATGCAGTATGGAGATTATGCACGTCTTTTTCTTTTCTTCCTATGTTGAAAATTCTGGTTGCTATGGCAACAAATAGACTGAAAATAGGCAAATTTTACACATAACCTGGATCCAGTGATAACACAAAAAGTACTGAAAATATGTTTATGAAACTTGACATATGGGTAGATGGCAGTATGGAAAATTTATGCACATCCTTTTTTTATCTTCCTATGTTTGTAAATTCTGGTTGCTATGGCAACAATTAGACTGAATTTTCAAGATTTCTTATTCTAGTTTTTAAGTTTTTTCACTATAAGTTTTTATTTCTTAAGGTATTTTCTTCAAACTTTAAATATAAGTTGCTTGTCATCAACCATATCATATGTGGCAAGGTTTACAACTCTAGTACAAAATTTATCAGAATTACCTCCCTTGAACTTAAAATTTTCATGAAAAAAACATTGTTTTTTTTTTAATAACTTCTTTTTCTGAATGTATCTACTTCAAACTTCATATAAATGTTTCTTATTGTCACTCAACATTTGTGAGTGTTCAATACTCTAGCAAGACTATTTCCAGAATTATGCCCCTTTTGAACTTAGACTTTTTTTTTGAGAAATTGGTAATTTTTACTCCAACTTCTTCAATCATGATAGGATTTTAAAAATGTTATATTTTGATAACAGGGATGTTTTTAAAAAATAACTTAGAGTGTCCTTCAGTCCGTCTGTCTGTACATAAAAACTGTTTCCTGTGATCACTTTTAAAGAACTTTTCAACAAATTTACTTTAAAAATAGGAACCTAAGTGAATGGCCCTTCAGAATGTGGCTTGGGCTCTTACCGGTAGGGGACTTATGGATTGCTTGCAATACTATGATAATTGCTTGTTTGATCTGTGTTTTCAGGAGTTGAGATAGGTGATAACGATATCCTAGAAGAGCAAATACATGCCCAGCTTGCCAAAACTGAGATTACCTTAACTCTCACAAACAAATTTGAAGTGCCGGAAGATGATCAAACAGACATAAAGACATTGTTGATACGAACTAAACGTATGTCCGTTGATGTGATAGCTTGTCAAGATGGAGAGACTCTCGCACAGATTCTAGAAACACCTGCCACTGAGGAACAAGTTAGTATTTTATCAAATCTGTATACATGTATATGATTTTATTATGCCCCCCTTCGAAGAAGAGGGGTATATTGTTTTGCTAATGTCGGTCTGTCTGTCTGTCTGTCGGTCCGTCTGTCTGTCCGTCAGTAGACCACATGGTTTCCGCTGATTATCTTGAAAAGTATTTATCACAAAGTCTTCATATTTCACATAGTGATTGTCATAACTAGTAGATGACCCTATTGATTTTTGGGGTCACTAGGTCAAAGGTCAAGGTCACAGGGACCTTAAATGTCAAAATGGTTTCCGCTGATTATCTTAAAAAGTATGTATCACAAAGTCTTCATATTTCACACAGTGATTGGTCATAACTAGTAGATGACCCCTATTGATTTTAGGGTCACTAGGTCAAAGGTCAAGGTCACAGGGACCTTAAATGTCAAAATGGTTTCCGCTGATTATCTTGAAAAGTATGTATCACAAAAGTCTTCATATTTCACACAGTGATTAGTCATAAACTAGTAGATGACCCCTATTGATTTTGGGGTCAACTAGGTCAAAGGGTCAAGGTCACAGGGGCTTTAAATGTCAAAAATGGTTTCCGCTGATTATCTTGAAAAGTATTCATCACAAAGTCTTCATATTTCACATAGTGATTAGTCATAACTAGTAGATGACCCCTATTGATTTTGGGGTCACTAGGTCAAAGGTCAAGGTCACAGGGACCTTAAATGTCAAAATGGTTTCTGCTGATTATCTTAAAAAGTATGTATCACAAAGTCTTCATATTTCACACAGTGATTGGTCATAACTAGTAGATGACCCCTATTGATTTTGGGGTCACTAGGTCAAGGTCACAGGGGCCTTAAATGTCAAAAGGGTTTCCGCTGATTATCTTGAAAAGTATTCATCACAAAGTCTTCATATTTCACATAGTTATTGGTCATAAGTATTAGATGACCTCTATTGATTTAGGGGTCATTAGGTCAAAGGTCAATGTCACATGGGCCTTAAATGTCAAAATGGTTTCCATTGATTTTACCATAATTGAACACTTCCATGTACCCATTTTTCTGTTTCTGTAATTAAATTACCAATTATGTGAGTCAATGGCTAGAAAGGGGGGTATATGTGTCGTTCGACATTCTTGTAAAATTATATCTTTTCTTGTACTTTGGTAAGAATATTTCTTTTTTTTATTCAAATAATTTTACATATAATTATATAAAATTAGATATTTTCTTACACTTTGGTAGAAACATTTTGTTTGTTTATTTATTCAAATAATTTCACATCTAGATAAAAAATGCTTTTTCAAAGATGTAGTGTTAATTAGTATGTTCATATCAGTTGCTAAGTGCCTGTTTTTCTACACTGTCAGGAAGAGCTTCATCAAGCCTTGGTGAAAAAGCGTGACCTTCGAGACAAGCGTGCAGCAAAGACAGACGGTAGTGTTGTCCGTACACAATCTATGTCCGGAGATTGCCGTCTGCCGCTACATCTTATGAAGACAAAAATGAAGAAAAGTTTACAGAATCTCGAGTTAGCAAATGTGGTGACAAGGAAAGATGGATACCAGGAAATTATAAATCTCATTGCTCAAGTAGGTTTTCATTTTGAGAGACTATTAATTTGGGTCTTAGGACACTTTAGGCTATAAATCCTGTATATAGTCCTAAAATTAAACGAGCCAGTCCTATATTTGATAAATGATAAATGATAAAATCTTACGGCATGTATGTAAAAGCAAACAGCTGACTTGCTCTCAAATTGTTAATATTTTTACAAATTTCATTACAACTTCTGCATATAGACACCTTGATTTGAGATTTTTGGCCATAGCCAAGGTTTTGCTGTAGATAGGTGAAATGAATTGTCTTACTTTTGTAAGTGTCAATATTGTTGTTGTCTATTGCTTGTCAACAAAAGGCCATTCTGCAGAGGTAGCACTGTATTTATAAACTGAGAAATAAATTTACATTCTAACTTATACAGTATGTTATAGTAAGGCAATTTTATTATTTTTGCATTTGGTACAGTTATTAAAAATCACTTATTTAAAGTAATTATTAAATATTCAAATGAACAACATTAAGATTTGTGTTTTGACAATGTTTCTAGGATATCAGAAATCAGAGAAGGTACCGTAACAACCGTAAACAAGAGTTGAATCGTCTACGTAGCACTCTGAAGAGTTTGTCAGAGAAACGTAGCTTTTATGAATCCCAAGTGGACTACTATAACCAATATGTCAAAACATGCACAGAAAATCTTCAACAGAAAGGGAGGTAATACAGATTTCTTATTGTTGTTTTTTAAGCAGTCTTTACATTAGTAGTGTTTGATTGTTAAATATTTGACAAGAATGAGAGACTTGATTTGATTTCACAGAGAAGAGAAATATTTCCTTTGTACAAAAGTTTCTCCATGGAAGTAACAATTTTATATTTCCAGATTCATTGAAGAAGACAATAAAATAGCAATATTTTGTATTTCATTCCTTTGAAGTAAAGCTTTTGTTTCAATTGCAATGCAAATTTTTCTGAGGGGAAAATTCTATGTTTCTGTTGATCAGAATTTCTTATAAGACTTTTTAAATAGGAACGTCCAGAAAAGTAACAAGATTTGTACATACCATAATTAATGCATTATAAAATGGAAATTCTTTATAAGCATTTGAGTATAGTCTTATTTTACTGATTTATATTTGCCCTTTTCCTTGTTCCTGCTATCATACTGTTCTCTAACCCCCCGCCCCATAGAATTACACATAGAGAGTCCTATGGACACATTTCTGGTTATATTTGCTTTGCAAGTACATAGTATATACAAGAATACATTCCTTCTTTTTTATTTTATTTTTTATCATAATACTAATGTGATTACGTGAAAGTATGTTGATGAAAAAGTATGTCTTCAATAATTTTATTTCCTGAATTCAGATCCCATAAAGCAAAAGCCAACAAGAATGCAAGAAAGGCACAGGGTACAATTAAATACAGCGGTGCAAAAATGCATGAGAAAGGTGTGATACTTGAAATAGAAGGATTGTCTCAAAATCAGTAAGTAAAATATTACCTCATATTGCACTGTTTTGTGTGTGTGGTGGGGGGAGGGGGGCTGTACATGTTAATGGGAAAGGGCAACCATTCTCGTTCATTTGAAATCAATAATTCTACAAACACTATAGATTGTGTAGACTGTTTTTGTGCCTTTGTGCCAATTTTCCTAAAAATACTAGTTTGAAATTTCAAACTTTGGCACACCGGATCAATTTTCAAAACGATTGATTAGTCAATGGATTAGATAATTAAACAATTATAGCATGGGCATGTGAAACATTACAGGTGCAACATTTGCAGACAGAACAATTACTTCTTTACAACAACAATATCTTTCCTTACAAAAGTGCAATTTTATTATCAATTTAAATTTAAATTCTAACACCTTTCTGCAACAACCAAAATCTTTATATCTCATATGTTTTTGGTCTGTCATGATTGTACTGCTATTCATAATGATATTACTTATAATGAGCTACTTTGAAAAAGGCACATATGACAAGAAAATGACTTACATAAAAAAAAAAAAGAATAACGAGGAGAACATGACATTTAACTTTATGTATGAATAAACTATGCTATGATATGTTACAGATTTAAGAATGCCCAGTTTGAGATTGCAGCTACAGCAGATCCTGGTATATTCCAAGTCAGTGCTAAATTTATGGGTATTGATGTAGAAAAAGTAGAACTTGTCTTCCAGGTAATATACCAACTATTTAACTTAACAAAATATACCATATCAGTGTTGTTATATCTTATTGGTCCTTTGGGTTCATTAATTCCATTACATAATGATTGTTGATGAATGAATACTGCTTTGACCAGTGCAACGGGAGAGCACTTTTCATCAACTTGCATGTTCAATGTTTCTTGCCCCTAAATATCGGGTTCAAATCCCTTTAGGAACATGGATTGCTTTCATGTTACATAAACTATCATGTAACATAAAGCTCACAGAAGGTCAATGGTTCTACTCTGCTGCCGACTTTTTTTTTGTTTATGGTTTTACGTCACATCGACACAGTATAGGTCATATCGCGACGTTCCAGCTTTACTGGTTGAGGAAGACCTCGGGTGCCCTTCCGTGCATTATTTCAGGCATGAACGGGCACCTGAGTAGAACCACCGACATTCCGTAAGCTAGCTTAAGGATAGCTTCCTCACATGAAAGAATCCAAAGTCCCTGTCGGGATTCGAACCCACAGCGATGAGGCGCAAGTGGTTAGAAGTCAATGACCTTAACCACTCGGCCACGGACGCCCTTGTACCAGAAAAAAGTAAAAATTGGATATCAAAAGGTCTTCCTGCAGCAGTAAATCTGGAAAGTCATCATATGACATCATCATCGATTTTGCAGCTTTAAAATAATGAAATATTGTTTCCTCTTTTGCAGGACTTGTTACAGCTACAGTATGAGGGTGTGGCCGTGATGGAAATGTTTGGAAAGACAAAGATTAATGTAAATCTTCTCATTTTCTTAATAAATAAGAAATTCTACAGTGGTGGGAAATAAAACTTCAAGTGACTTGTGGAGGAGAACATTATTTCTAAGGTGTTTCAGGATGCTGCCAAAATGTGTTATTATAGTTTGTACCATAACACAAGAAAGATGACTTGTTGAGGTCATTGTATTGAAGGCAGGATGATAAATTGAATGTCTCTCAATTTTTACCATTTATTGATTTTTTTTTACAATTTGATAAGAATATATATATATATATCTTATTTTAATATGGCATTTCTGCATATACTTTTTTTTGTATCAAGCTATATAGAATTGCCTGCTAGATCTATATATACAAAATTTATAAACCCTTAATATACATAGTTGATAATGAATTTACTTATTTATTGGTTTAAGAGCATATTAGGCAAGTTGTTAAATATTACGATTGGTCATTCGGGGTTTTTTTAGCCACAATATGTGTGAATAAAAGTTAATAAATATATTTTTATGCCCCCACAATGTGGGAGCATATAGCGTTGCACTTGTCCGTCCGTCCGTCAGTCTGTCCGTACGTCCCGAAATCTTGTGAACGCAATTCCTCTTAAACCGGATGGCAGATTTTGCTTAAACTTACAGGGATGAACAACCTTAATGTGTAGATGGTAGTAAAGGAAGGAATTTTCGCTTAGACCAAATTTAACAGAATTATGGCCCTTTGTTGATTTTTTCACTAGATACATGTACTATGTAGAAATTTTGTGAACGCAACTCCTCTTAAACCGTATGGCAGATTTTGCTTAAACTTACAGGGATGAACAACCTTAATGTGTAGATGGTAGTAAAGGAAGGAATTTTTGCTGCGACCAAATTTAACAGAATTATGGCCCTTTGTTGATTTTTTCACTATATACTATGTAGAAATTTTGTGAACGCAACTCCTCTTAAACCGCATGGCAGATTTTGCTTAAACTTACAGGGATGAACAACCTTAAGGTGAGATGGTAGTAAAGGAAGGAATTTTCGCTGCGACCAAATTTTACAGAATTATGGCCCTTTGTTGATTTTTTTTCACTATATACTATGTAGAAATTTTGTGAATGCAACTCCTCTTAAACCGCGATGGCAGATTTTGCTTAAACTTCCAAGGATGAACAACCTTTATGTGTAGATGGCAGTAAGGAAGGAATTTTTGCTGCAATCAAATTTAACAGAATTATGGCCCTTTGTTGATTTTTTCATTATATACTATGTAGAAATTTTGTGAACGCAACTCCTCTTAAACCGGATGGCAGATTTTGCTGAAACTTCCAGGGATTGTAACAACCTTAATGTGTAGATGGTAGTAAAGGTAGGAATTTTTGCTGCGACCAAATTTAACAGAATTATGGCCCTTTGTTGATTTTTAGTTTTCAACTTGTGGCACATGTAGTCCAAAAAATATTTGACCTAGAGTCATAAGATTGACAAAACAGTGGCGTGTGGGGGCATCCGTGTCCTATGGACACATTTCTAGTTTTTAGCTCGACTTTTCTATGAAAAGGGGAGCTATCCTACTCGCCCCGGCGTCGGCGTTGGCGTCACACCTTGGTTAAGTTTTTCGTACCACCCACACTTTATTTCAGAAGTATTACAAGTATGGCTTTGAAACTTACCATACTTGTTCACCATCATAACCTCCATCTACAGACAAGAGTACATAACTCTGTCAAGGTTTTTGACAGAATTATGGCCCTTTTTTGACTTAGAAAGTGTATTGAGCTTGGTTAAGTTTTTTGTACCACCTCACTTTATTTCAAAACCATTGGAGGTATTGCTTTGAAACTGACCATACTTGTTTACCATCACGACCTTCATCCACAGACAAGAGGACATAACTCTGTCAAGGTTTTTGACAGAATTATGCCCCTTTTTGACTTAGAAAATACATTGAATATGGGTAAAATCCACTTATTGCCTTAACCCTTTGAGATATTGCTTTGAAACTTTTAATGCTATTTCACATCATTACCCCCATCTGTACGCAAGAGAAGGTAACTCTGTCAAGGATTTGTTTTAAAAATTAAGGCCTTTTATCGACTTAGAATCTTGGTTAAGTTTTTAGTACCAGTCCACTTTTTGACTGAACTGTTTGAGATATTAATTTGAAAGTTGGAATACTTGTTTACAATCATGATTCCCAAACATGTCCAGGAGAAGGTAATTCTGTCAAAGATTTTATTTGAATTATGGCCCTTAACTGTCAATGTTTTGTATTATAGGCAAGCACTAAAAAACTTAAAAAAATCTAAAAAAATTCATTCCTATCCACTTGTTCACTTTACCATAAATTATGTCATATAAACATTGCTGTAATATTCAAGGGTATCAAACAACTAGTTCACTTTAAAAATACAAAGATTCTTGTATTGCCTTTTACTGCAAAAACTTTTTTTATTGGCAAGCAATAAAAAAGTCGAGCGCGCTGTCTTACGGACAGCTCTTGTTAGCTCACCTGTCACAAAGTGACAGGGTGAGCTTTTGTGATCGCTTTTCGTCCAGCGTCCGTCCGTCGTCCGTCCGTAAACTTTTGCTTTAAATGACATCTCCTCATAAACCACTGAGCCAATTTCATCCAAACTTCACAGGAATGTTCCTTTGGTGGTCACCTTTAAAAATTGTTCAAAGAATTTAATTCCATGCAGAACTCTGGTTGCCATGGCAACCAAAAGAAAAAACTTTAAATATCTTCTTTTAAAAAACCCTAAGAGCTAGAGCTTAGATATTTGGCATGAAACATCTTCTAGTAAGTGTCTACCAAGTTTGTTCAAATAAAAGCCCTGGGGTCAAAATTGGCCCCGCCCCAGGGGGGCATTGATTTTCCCTATATGCATATAGTAAAAACTTAAAAAATCATCTCTTAAAGAACCCAAAGAGCTAGAGCTAAGATATTGGCCATGAAACATCTTCTAGTGAGTGTCTACCAAGTTTGTTCAAATAAAAGCCCTGGGGTCAAAATTGGCCCCGCCACTGGGGGTCATTGATTTTCCCTATATGCATATAGTAAAAACTTAAAAAATCTTTTTTTAAAGAACCGTAAGAGCTAGAGCTTAGATATTTGGCATGAAACATCTTCTAGTGAATGTCTACCAAGTTTGTTCAAATAAAAGCCCTGGGGTCAAAATTGGCCCCGCCCCAGGGGGTCATTGATTTTCCCTATATGCATATAGTAAAAACTTAAAAAATCTTCTTTTAAAGAACCTAAAGAGCTAGAGCTAAGATATTGGGCATGAAACATCTTCTAATGAGTGTCTACCAAGTTTGTTCAAATAAAAGCCCTGGGGTCAAAATTGGCCCCGCCCCAGGGGGTCATTGATTTTCCCTATATGCATATAGTAAAAACTTAAAAAATCTTCTTTTAAAGAACTCAAAGAGCTAGAGCTAAGATATTTAGCATGAAACATGTTCTAATGGGTGTCTACCAAGTATGTTCAAATAAAAGCCCTGGGGTCAAAACTGGCCCCACCCGGGGGGGGTCATTGATTTTCCTTATATGTGTATAGCAAAAACTTAAAAATCTTCTTTTAAAACAGCCAATGAGCTAGAACTTAGATGTTTAGCATGAAACATCTTCTTATGGGTGTCTACCAAGTCTGTTCAAATAAACAAATAAAAGCCCTTGGGTAAAAATTGGCCCGGGGTTGGGGGGGGGCCTATATACAGGTGAGCGACCTCAGGGCCATCATGGCCCTCTTGTTTCAGTCTTGCCAAGAAATATAAAATTAAAATCGTAATATTTGAGCTTATCTTTGGACAGTTTGTCTCAATATTTTGACAATAAGTTTTTATTGACCTTTTATATCAAGTTATATTTTTTTATAATTGACATAAGCTCACTTTGGGTTAGTCCAATTTTGCCTTATAGTTTTTAGTTCCAAATAAATCACAGGTAAGAACTAGAAAAGTGTTGAAATATAATATAGTATAAAATTGTTTGCTTCAATTTAATGTGGAAATGTAGGGATTGATCGTTTTCTTGTTATATTTTCATTGAATAGAATTTTTTTTTTCTGAAATGCACTGTTAAACAGTACCAAGTAAGTTTTATTGTTGACTTTGTATTTTTATTATTTGATAATCTTTGTTAAGAAATGAGCCGCGTCATGACAAAACCAACATAATGGGTTTGTGACCAGCATGGATCCAGACCAGCCTGCGCATCCGCGCACGGGATCCATGCTGTTCGCTTACAAAACCTATAGCAAGTAGAGAAACTGATAGGGAACAGCATGGATCCTGATCAGACTGCGCGGATGCGCAGGCTGGTCTGGATCCATGCTGGTCGCAAACACACTATGTTGGTTTTTTCGTGACGCGGCTCAAATATTGTTATGAATATGTTATTTAGAGCTAGTCTCTCAGTTTGTTGATGCATTTACTAAGATCTGCCTTACTCTATTTTGTACTGTTACACATATAGTGCTTTTGTTGAAAGATTAAATTAATTGTTCAGAGATATAAACTATGTCAGGTTCTACATTTTGTATATTAGTTTGTTTTCTTCAGCTTGTATTTAATCATGTTAAATATGTTTGCTTTTTTCAAGGACAGATATTCAGAAGGTGTGCAACAATACTGTCAAATCTCTATTGCGATGAAGGCAACCCATATTGCAATACATAAATTGTTCTTAAACTAGAAAACGAAAGCTATGGTTTATTTCTGAAATAGTTAAAAGCTCTACAAACTTTTAATAACACTGTCTTTTTAGAGTAAATGTATGTTTGGAGGCTTTTCAGGTCTTTATCAAACCATAAAAATTAAAGTTGCCAGTTAACTTACAAGATTGAAGGGCCTTAAATAGTCACAATATTTTATAGTACAAATGTTTATTTTTATCAAATATTAAAGAAGTACGAGGGTTCTATAGCACAATATTTATAAACCAACTTGCATCTCAACATAAATACTGTTTAAACCAATATAGCAGTAAATATTCAGCAATTAAGATAAAGTTATAGTGTGAAGAATGCTAGCGGCGTTAATTCTAGAGTTCTATTCTGTCTACTGCTCTCTCTGGCGTAGGTTCGATCCCTGGGAGATGCTTTGGTAGTTTAGCGCGGAGGATGGTAGTCTAGTAGTGGTGTAACTCTCCAGGAACGATGGTTAGGAAACTACCCGCCTATATGACTGAAATACTGTTGGGAAAAGGCGTAAAATGAAACAAACAAATAAAACTGTCTACTGCTTATATTTAGCATTTTAACCCTTACCCTGCTGAATTACTTGGATGGACTTGTCCAGATTCCATTTTTGGAACTGTCCACTTTCAGTGTAGGGATATTTGAAGTTGGTCAGCAAACAGTATAGAGCCAGGTGAGTCTGCGCATCTTGTACTGATTGCTATATACTGATGATAAAAGCTTATCACTTATTGTTCCACTAGGGTAAAGGCTAATATTCAAATACCTTTTACTGGTAAATGATAATGAAAGACAAATTTATTTTA